GGACTAGTCTCATTTTGTTACTAACAGGAGGGACTATTGCTCCTCCTTTAGAACAAACAGCCCATTTCATTTATATGATATGTATGTATTATGAGAAATCACTTCTTAGTATTTCATTGATGGTCTGCATTTTCTGTTCCATTTTCCATTGGACAACTTTTATACTGTATTTTAGATTTACTTGGTCATATAAAAATGTACATTAAATAAAATTAGTCTGTAAGCCATGTAATTTTTTCTACCTAAAACTAAAATAAAAACAAAGGCAGCACAATTTGAAATATTACATTCAAAGCCATGTTATCTACTTTCGAACCTGTCAGGGAATTTCTTTCCTTTTCCCTTTTCCCTTTTCCCTTCCCTTCCCTTTCCTTTCTTCCCTTCTTTTCTTCCTTTCTCTCTTTCTTTCTTTCCCTTCCTCCTTCATTAATTCATTTATTTATAAAGACAGAGTCTCACTCTGTTGCCTAGGCTGGAGTGCAGTGGCTCAATCACAGCTCACTGTAGCCTCAAACTCTTGAAGTGATCCTCCTGCCTCAGCTTCCGGAGTAGCTGGGGATATAGGTGTGAGCCACTGCATCTGGCCTTCTGCCTAGTTTTAGACAGAACATAATTCTAGAGCAGTGTTGTCTAATGTTCCATAGCTATACTGTCTAATATAATAGCCATAGCTACATATGGCTATTTTTTTTTTTTTTTGAGACAGAGTCTCACTCTGTCACCTGGGCTAGAGTGCCATGGCATCAGCGTAGATCACAGTAACCTCAAAGTCCTGGGCTCAAGAGATTCTCCTGCTTCTTCCTCCTAAGTAGCTGGGATTACAGGCACACACCACCACCACCACCACGCCTGGCTAATTTTTCTATTTTTAGTGGCGATGGGGGTCTCACTCTTGCTCAGGCTGGTCTCGAACTCCTGACCTCAAGTGATCCTCCCACCTTGGCCTCCCAGAGTGCTAGGATTATAGGCATGAGCCACCATGCCCGGCCTACATATGGCTATTGAGCACTTGAAATCTGGCTAGTGTGACTGAGGATCTTGATTTTAAATTTTATTTAATTTTATTTAATTTAAATTTAAATAGCTGGCTGTGGCTAGAGGCCACCTTAGTGGACAGCGCAGTTCTAGAGGTAGGTGTCAACTGAAGGATACTGATGTTTGTTTTTGTTCCTAAAGTTTACTTTTTCAACCTCAAGTATTAAAGGGACTAATTTTAAATGTATAAATCAAGTAAAAACAAAACTACTAGTTCTCTGAGAACTTCTAAGAAACTTTTTAGCTTTAAAGTACTCAGACTGTTTATTATCTTGGGATAATGAGGATGTTCCCTACCTGCTGGGAAGCTGAAGCAGCTCTCTCTTCAGCCTGACTTAGACGCCTTTGAAGTCTGTTGGCTTTTTCTTGATGCTCTAGAATTAACTTTTCATTCTATTAAGGAGAAATATAAAACAAACAAGTTAGAAATCCATATGTGAGATGGAGATGTTTTGTAGAATAATCAATGAAAAATCTGGACATCAATTTACTACTTACAAAATACAAAGATTATATTATCTCCAAATTTACATTTTTCAAGTTATAAGCTTCAAAGTAAAGAGCTGGTTTTATATTCTTATTAAATTGGATCTTTTTCTCTACATGCCACCAAAGAAAAT